CGCATTAATCGATTAACAACGTAGTATCGGAATTAGGTTCCAACACAGACGAGCATGTTAAACCAACTATGACGTGGCAAAAAATCCAGATGAAGGTAACAACCGACAGGGGATTTCTTTCTACCGTGACATTGCCACAATGTCAGTGTTAGTACGTTAATCAATCTAATGAAAATGTGTGATCCAATTTAACGCCACACGATAGAATCCGGCACGCATTTGCGAGCGAAATATTCCCTCACCAAACTGCTCTACTTATTTCTCTTAAAGCCAAATAAGCCATCAACGGCTTCGGGAACAAACGTCATGCTATTACTTTGATGTGTTATTATGTGCTATCAGATCATAAAAAATCTTGCTCTCTCTCTCATTGTAAAACACAATGCGCGCTTTTGATATTTGTGTTTACAACACGAATATCAAAAGCGCGCACATAAATTGATCATTTTTCATAATCAGAATTTTTCAAAGTTATTATTATTATTTTCTTTTTTATAATGAGTAGAAGGCTCACAAATCAATGTTTACGCAAGTGTTCGATCAAAGCCGATTCCATATCTTCAACTGGACAGAGACAATCATTAAAAATCGAGGTCATGTCGTCGCCTTAATTCTACTATCGATCTAAGTGAGGGATATCGAAGTGTGAAACTTGCCATCCAATAGCACTTTGCCAAATGCAAATATTGACATAGCCTTAATCGTATGCTGCACTACGTTATCAAAGTTCAGAAAAAGACGTGAGTATATGACGTATTTCCGAAAAATATGGTTTATTTAAGAGTTTGTTTGTAAAGTAGAAAGTCATGAATGCAATGCCTGAAATATATTTATCTAGATAAATGCTAAAACAAATTACTAAAAATGTATCTATAAGTAACATTGCTAAAGTTTTTTAAGCTATGAGTTCTAAAACTGACTATTATTTTGATGGCTCTAAAATTTACTTTATCCCAAATGTGACTGTTTTGGTAACAATACATTTGGCATAATATTGTTATTTGCATTTCTAATAGAGTTTCATATTTGATAATTAATTGGATCACTATTTTCACGTTCTAACCATCGATATAATATGTGTACAGTTTTGAATGCAAAGATTTAATAGGGCGAATAATAATTTGCTTCTACGTAATCTACATAGAGAAAAACTCCTCTTCTACAATACAAACGTTGAAACTTGTCTTTCGCGAGAATTTATTCAACTGAAATTTCGAAGTTAAATAAAAGTATACCTTCAATTTCTTTATACCGTTTACTTCCTAAAATTTAATTATTTAATGTATATGTACATATTTCCAGTATCCTTCTTTTTCTTTACACGACCTTCCATTTTTTTTCTCATTTAGTCACCTTAGCAATCTCGTTCAAGGAGACCACCTTTTCTTTATGGACGCTCTGCATATATACAAGCGACAAAAATTCTAAAAGTTCTATTAGCTACGCATTTGAAGCTTAATTCGTAGCTTTTTAATTTTAAATTACCTTGAAACTTAAATATACTCTCGTACTAATTAAATCTTCGGCAACTTTGTCAAAGAAACATCGACTAAAATTTTATTCATAAGATAAAATACTAATGCGCAAAAGAGTGAGTAAGGATCGATAATTAACTGTAGCGATGTTGCCAAGTATAATAAAATGAACGTTAAATTTTAATACATAAGTTTACAAATCTTGATTATTCGAGATTAACGGGTAACATACGTGATATTTGCGGCTTAAACTTTGATTATAATTTTCATTTTGAGAAAGCTGTCGTAGCTATTATTATGTAAATATATAAAAAAACATTAAAGTATTAAAACCGCGTATCTCCTTCGTTAGAAACGCGTCGAGTCATGACCTCGTGTAGCCTCGGACAGCCGAAAATCTATAACGAGGAAGAAGAGAACACGGTGGTCCGTGTAAGAAAAGTGGAGCATTTTGAGACCACGTCGTGTGATGCGATGAAAAACCGGTACAATACACGAGCATCCTCGATGAGTTTCGAAAGCCACAGAGTGGCCCAGCCCCCTTTTAACCACATCGAGCACGTGCTACGACATGTTGCACGTCATACCGTAATCATGCATGCACTGTTAAATTCATAATGTCAGATTATACCCAATTTGAGTTATTTTTAGTAATTTCTGTAGGTCGTCGCCACTGCTCAATATATCGTTAATTTAACTCGAAGAATAGTAAACAATTTGAGTCATTTTAAATTTAATACATTTAATACATTTAATATATTAAATTTCTTTGATTTAAATTGTTTAATTCTATCGTTTTAGTTAAATATATTGAATAAACGAAACTGCCAAAATTTAGTTTATTATTTATAAAGTAACACAAGTGAGTATTACGTTCATATGATTGTTGCTTATTTTGAAACTAAACAATTCAACCACATAAATGGATTAATTTATAGTCTGATACATATAAAAGTTAAGAATAACAAAATGTTATTTAACTCAAGAGATTGAGTTGCCGTTACTCTTTTTATGTCTAACAGTGTGGCTAATAAAATCGCGATACGACAGAATTGATGTGAAATCCCGCATTCTGAACGCACAATGGGAAATCTATCCATTTTGAAAAGACAGGAATTTTATACCACCTAATATAGGAATATCCCTTACATTTCCACCTCCGTGAATTTTGAAATTACTTTGAGATTACAAACTCGTTTCAATAGAACTCTAAATTAAATTTAGATCTCAAGGAAGGAGTTTGGTATTATGTCGAACGAAGCTTTCCACGTAATTCCTAAGTATATTTTCAAAATGAAACTCAAGCTCTTCCGCCTAATGTGCAATAGGAATCGTCTAACTAAATCGCAAACAATTCCTAAAGTCTCGAGATATTACTTGGCTGACGATTGTTCATTGCAGATAATGTCGCGGGCTAAATACCGTACGTCATTAAAGTAAACAGCAACAAGGCTGTGCAAACTGAGACTCCTGAGAAACAGTGCGATAAGATAGTTTATTGCAACCTTATTCTTACAGTCTCTCGTATTTTCTTCCGAGATTTTATTTTGTAAAATTGTGAGAACAGCCATCAGCACCTCGGTCGATGCTCGTTCTCCTCCTCGTGGCAAAAGTATCTATAACTTTAAACCTTTTCTAGAGAAGCAAAAGACCTGCTCGTCCTTTCATATACTGAAAAGAGTCTGGATGCATTAATTGGAATTCTGGTGAAAAATGGACGAATCGGAATTTTCTGGTTAAATCTAGTCGAAATTTAATTGGAATTCTAGTCGAAATAATCAGATGTCCAACTATGATGACTAAAATTCCAGTTATTAGAATATTCGTTCATTTTCAACCAAAAGTTTCTCAGTGTATAAGAAACAGCTTCACCATTACCACTGATAAAACTGTTTTCTGTATTTTCACGGACGGCCTTCTCATATTTCATTTACATTTTTTTCGCCGTGATATTCTTCTCTCGCAAACAGATATTCCAAAAAGGGATACACATTTTATTCGCATTCCAACCTGTCTTACAATACGAGAAAGATATCACCAGAATGTGCTTCCTCTTTTATACCTGCAGACGCATAAATATCGTTCCATTAATCGGTCCTTCGGCGTATACATATTTTGTAACGATTTTAAAAAGGGAAGAAAAAAGAAACGTTGACGCTGAATAATTGCAAATGTCATTACTTTGCGATTACGTAAGTCGTAGTTGTCAAAGAATGAATTGAAAATAATTGTCGGCGTTAGTTCCTCTCTGCATTACATATTACGTCGTCAAATCGTTAACAAAAGTCCGTATATCAGCAGATAGCGATGAAACGGCGTATCTCTAGCTTTCAGGAGATAACGATGACTTATTTTAAGTCAAAAGACAATAGCGTTTAAAGACTTTTTAAATGACAATACATTCTTGTGCTAAATATAATAATTTGTAATCGGAATAAGTCGTATTAGCGATTTATGACATATTCTGGATGAGAGAGAATAAAAAATATTTATAATCTAAAATTTCGGCAAGACCTTAAAGTTTTAGAAACTACGATTCTGTGAATAATTTTTCTTATTACTCTAGTTTTAATCTCTTCCACTTTTAAGCTTCTTATCATTCAACCGAAATAAAGTAATAAAAATCGTTTTGTATGCAACATATCCTTAATAAATCCTTAATAATATTTCAGTATTTTTAAAAGCAACAGAAATATATATTTACCGAGTATTTTCTCTTTTAAACGCATAAGATAATTGTTTTATCATAGAACCAAAATATTAAAGAATGTAATAAATTATTGGTATTAATTGTAAAAATTGAAACGATTAAAAACTCTAATTTTGCAATATACCTTTTGACCATGCTGGCTATCATACATCATCGACAAGTAAACACGTTTGATAAATATACATCAAAATTCAGTGCATGATACCAATTCTGATTAAGTCTCATGGGAATGAGAAAACGCCAACGCTATTGTCAATAGGTATCACCACTACTAGCACCACCGATATACAATACATCATCATTGATATGTACATACAAGGATCGCTGGTACGTTCATCGTCACGTTGGAGCAAGACAACTAGAAACTGACCTGCAGAAACACGTGACAGTATCCTCGACGTCGATGGAAAGCGACGTCTCGATGGCGGAATATTTGAGAACCTTCCTGTTCCCCAGTCCGAACATCGGAACGCGGGCACGACGGTACCAGGGAGGTACGGGCAGATGGGCCTGGGGCATAAAGTGGAGAGGGCGGGAAGGAAAAGGGAAGGGAGGACAGGAAGGTGAGAGAAAGAGAAAGAGAAAAGGTATAAAATATATATCTACTCTGCTCCAGTTGATTGGTTGGAATCACTCGGCCGGCCGCTAGGCCAGTAACGAAGCACAGACTGACATAGCCGTTCTCCAGACAGCGAGCAAACAGGCAGGCAGGCAGGCAAACAGGCAGGCAAGCCACCGTTCGCCAGGTACCACCACCGCGCGATCGTCCACGTCGCGGCCGTCCTCTCCACCGCCGCCGCCGCCACCGCAGCCGCAACAGATAGAGAGAAAGCGGAAGAGAGAGGGAAAGACGCGATTTGTACCGCCGGAGGAAGAGAGGAGAACACACTCTACCGTGTTCAGGAGGAAGCGGAGATCGGCGGGAGGGAAATGGAGAGAACGGCCTGAGAGAAAGACTATCAGGAGCTTCCTCAGGTCAGAGTATGGTAGAGTCACCGCTATATTTTCCTCCCTTTTTATCCCCCTTTCCTTCTTACTATCTTCATCGCGAGCGGACTCGTCATAATGCAATTAACGATTGACCGAGCCGAAACCGGACAAGTTCTCCTCGTCAGTTACCGTGTTACGACGCAACGCGAGATCACCCGATCTCGAATTCCCAGTTGTGCACTCCATTGTCTGTTGCTCGTCAGGGTCGTTCCCCTGGTGAGCATCCGACAAAAAGAAGATCCGACAGAGATGTCACGAGAGAATTAAATTGGTCCAAGAGCGATAGGAGCGAAAAAGTAGGTACTCGATAAGATAAAGTACAGAAAGCATTGTCTCAAATAGAAAAACATTGGCAGCTTTAAAAAAAAAAGTGTAAACTCTAAAACGTGAATGTCTTTGTAATGTTCAGAAAATGTAACGAAAGCAAATTTCGCGCATACAAACAATAAGATATATGTTTTATTGCTTTACATATAATGTAAGAAATTAATCGAATACCGCCGAAACATAACTGCGTGACACATGTATGTCTGAAAATTTTAACAACGAGTCAGTTTTGACCCAATTTCCGTTGTCTCGGAGGACTAATCAATAAAATACATAAAGGTTTAATCGTCGACGAGTTGCTACTGGACTGTTTCTTCGCTTATTGGCTTCATGTCAATATGTTTGTTTGCTATATAGAAACAAATATTGGACACTCTCGGACAGGCGGAAGAGGGTTTCGAAATCAAAATGGTAATTGAAATATAAACTCGCGTGTAAATTGCAATTTTCGGTGAAAGCTCCTTGCAAACTTCTTTTCTAAAAACCGGTATAACGAGAGCGTAGGATTATTCCATAAATGGAGAGCTAAACGCGGAATATAACGTTTCTATTAATTGCAACATTGCAAGTGATAATCTTGATAGTGCTTCCGGACGAGCTTGGGACATAACCGGTGGATATAATGTACGTATTGCTGTACTCAATGTATTCTATCTGTGTGAATAAATACATAATACAGGTTCGCGAGTTCTCATTACAAATGTGAAAGGTTAAGGCCGTTCAATACGTAAAGCATATTTTTCTGCGTTTGAGTTTGCTTTCGAAACTGTTCACCCCGTGACATTGATTCTTTTTACGCACAATCGACTCAATGTGACTATACCCAGCCTACCCCTAATGGGGGTGTTTCATTTTTAGCGATTCAATCATCAATGGCAGAATTGTCGGCGAATTTAAAGACAATTTCATTATAGAGGGAGAAATGTCAAAAAAGATGGATTTCTCTTCAATTTTCAACATTAAATGAGTTTTAATACAAATTTAAATTACAAATTGAGGATCTTGCAAACCTACGTCATCATTATTTCAACTAATCGAATTCCGATTCTAATCAAATCTAAAACGAAAATTGATATTTTGAAATAAAGCTTACTTCTATATGTATGTACATCGCAGATGATTTTACGTTCATCAGTGAAAAATTTATCGCATTTACAATAATAACATCGTGAATGAGTAACGTCGAAGCGCACGATATTACGTATTTGCGAAGAAGAGGTACAAGCTATCGAGAGAAAATTTTGTCAACAAATTACAGAATGCTGAAACGAAAGTAGTAACGTCGCGATCTGGATGGTAGAACATCGAAAAACGAATTGGCAACGGAATATTGCCAAGACTAAAAAAAATGGTAGTCACTTGAAAGAGAAATATTGATGCTAATTACGTCGATAGCGAAGAGATATCGATGTGCAGCATGATCAGCTTGAATTGGCCGATATACACTGACCGTCGCCAATTGCGAACGAATGCTACAAGGAAACTATTATTAGCGTCCATTGGATCGGAAAACCTGACGACACGAATGATGCTTAAGTTCGACAGGCTATCGATATTCCGTATCGACTCGCCATTGAGTATCATGACCAGACCCAATGTCCTTTTTATTGGGCCCGACATTAATACCGAGATAAAAGGTAAGATAAAGAGGAAAATAAAGAAAATTATATAACGGAAAGTCAACCTAAACAACAAGTATGCCTAAAAAAACATCGTAAAAACATCATAAAGACATCCTTCAAAATATCAATTTGGAACATACATGTCTAGAACATATCTAAGATATCATAAAGAGGTTTTGTAGACAATGCGTGTTGTTTGAGAAGATATTCCTTCATTATATTTTAAAAAGACAATTTCGACATTTAGCATATACTTGTAAAATATTCAAACAGCATTCTTTTTTCTTTTGTTTGTAGCTTAGCTTATGAATTTCTTTTGATTACGTATAAATAAATTATGTATAAATAAAGTGGATAACATAATGCGCCAAATTTCGATAGAATACTATTATCGATCTTTGTCGTAGCTTCATAATGGGCAATATCGATTGCTGATAACAAACGATGATTGTTATCCATCGAAGCGGGAGTATTCCGCGAGGCTGATTATTTTTGCTCGCTCGTCCGTGAATCACCCGCCATTTCCCCGTTCACGAATATGCCTCTGCCAACGGAAGACGTTGGATGACATTATCGTGAAAAATGAGCATAGAGATAACGAGGGTGCGGATGAATGTCAAGTAAATGCGACGTCGACCTGGGTATTTAGAGACCACGACACATCCTTCGGGAGCTTTAGGTAAGTATAAAACGTGTGAACACTACCTATGTCCCATGAAAGTGTCCTTAAATGATAACGTATGTATTTCAACGTAATTATAGTAAAGGGATGTGGAAAAAACTAATTGCGGTATTATTGTTCAGCAATTTATCATTGTTTGACAGTGCCCACCTCTTTTTCTCCCATCAGCTGATTAAACTCCTTACAGCACGGTAAATCAAAGTGCAAAAACAATAATAGTGCTAGAACCTAGAACCAGATTCATCAGATTTATTATATCCTATAAAAAATATAAAAAGAGAATATTTTGTTAAAGTTCAAATTTATATGCGTCTTCAAATAAAATAAAATGTAATATTATTCTAATATTTCATACAACGTGAATCTAAAGCAAACTCATCAAATTTGGCAGACGTGTTCTTTGGCTGATTGAAAGTCTTTTCTTTAATAAAACTTTAATTGAATGTACTCTTTTTACACACTTTTAATTTTCAATGTTAAATATTTCGACGACTCGGGTCAAATGAAAAATTTGTTTTCAAAAGAAAAAGTCGTCTTGAAATTGAGTGAAGATTAATTTTTATTCTTTAAGATTAATTTTTCATTTTTTTAAAAGATAAGAATTAATTCGCCCTTCAATCGTCGAATTTTGTTACGATGCTCATATTACGTCAGCAAGAAACGGATTTACGCGTAGCTTTACCGTGATTTTTTTCGTATACACAGTAAAGTCTTTGATGACACGACAACAGAACGTTACAGCGATATTTTATGATAACCGTGATAACTTTGTTTACCCGGAAAAACTAGCGGGATGCCCACATGCAATCGCGTGCATCGACAGAGTTGCTATCGTAAAAAAAAAAAAAAAACGATAAAGTAGCCGTTATATCTTGTGAAATAAAGTGATAGGTGCGTTTAAGTTAAAAGCATTCTTGTTCGCTTGTTCACAGTACCAATGTTCATTCAGATAAATATTATTTTGAAATTTTTTTAACACGCCGGTGAAACTGAGGAAACCGAAAGTGACGTTAATACCATAATTCTTATCTCTTAAAAAATAAAAATTAATCTTCAATTTCAAGATGACTTTTTCTTTTGAAAACAAATTTTCATTTGACTCGTCGAAATATAATATTTAACATTGAAAATTAAAAATGTATAAAAAGAGTACATTCAATTAAAGGTCCATGTAATCAGAATAATTCCTATGCAATTCATTTTTTTCCAGATATGTTGGAACCAGATATATTCAAGAGAATCAAATTTTTCTCTGATTTCTCGTAATTAATTTTTATTTTACAAAATTATAAACGTTTTGTTTTATTTTTAAAAATTGTAAAAAATATCATTCCCAATAACGAACTAAGAACATATAAAAAAATTAAAGATTATTATTTTTGTAATCTCGCACATATAAGTTCATAAAATAGAAAATATCTTATACATAAATTGAAAGAGATTTTAGAAGGGATTTCTAATATTAATATTGGGTCTGAATAAGAAAAATTAAATGTCAATTTTTTAAACAATGTTATCGGATTTACAATTTATATAAATTAGAAATTGTAAATACCGATGTTTTTTTGCGATAGTATACGTGTTGCGGCGGATATAGTCAACAAGTAAATATTTGTGTAAATACAACGCATGACTCTTTACACTTTTATATTTTGAATCTATTGCGCCGCGATATATATTATTTGAAAAGTATTATTTGAAAAAAAATAATCTCTTCTCGTATTTTATTTCGGTTTAGTAAAATACATATAGATAATTAAAAATTAATAAAATGCGTTCAAATATCCGTGAAATTCTGGACATTTGTTTAATATCAATTGTACTGCAATGATATATTCGAAATTATTAAACAGCATATCCGAGGTAAAACACGTATATGAGAGCCGCGGACAAAACGAATTGACAAGGTAATACTTGATATTCTTGAAATGAATATTATGAGCATACGTGGTTAATTTACTCAATAACTCGTTCTATTGGCACTTATGTATACTTGATCTATACCTATTGTTTATTCGCTTATATGTCACTTATATTGTACAAATTAAAACAAAATTATGAGTAAGAAATTTTTTAAATATTATATATACATGTATCGATTCCTAATTCATAACATCGCGCAATCTATATATAAGAAAATTTGTTTAATATAAAATATTTGTTGACATTAAAACAATCATCGATACATGTATTGCCAATTCAATATAATTTATATTCCTAGTATTCTAAATTAATTCTTTCTGCTAAACGATTCGGCCGATAACAGATGTTCAGGTAAGTGTAAAAAAAATTTAATGATTCGAAAAACTAGTATTTACGTCTTCGCTATCTCTTCATTACAAAAGACAACCTGCACTGTTGCTATAATTTTTCAGGCGATGATTACATTGATTAATCACGTAGGATAGACATCTTTACGAATTACGTCACGCATACGTGTAAACACCTTTTCTGTGTTCATCGAACGGATTTAAATTTATCAAATCATGCCGTAATCGAGAAGATTAGCATCGTAGCCAAGTCCCAAAATCGCTATGTAAATATCTTTTAAATCAATTCGAAAATTGCGTAACCTCAGACAGAAGATTTTTCGAAAGCGGAAACACAGGAATAGGAATAAATTATACGTAAACATTAATTTTAAACATCCGTTCACATATTACAAGCTTCAAGACAGAAGAGATTTTAGTTTCGTTCGAATCATTCGTTTGACATTCATTTTATAAATACGTCTTTATCTATACTTATTGATTGTTTCTATCGAGATACAAAATCGAGCTCCAGCTGTGAGATCCAGTTAATGTTTGAGTTCCCTGCTCGCTGTCGTCGGAACTAATTGTTCGAGTATCACAATGCTCTCTTCAACGTTCTTCGAAGATCGGAAAGATCAGCATGCGCGATATATCGTGCTGGAAACGTCACGTCACGAACGTTTTGGCGAACGTGCAACCGTGCGTGAATCACTGAGGAAGCCAATCGCACGACGAGAGATCGAGATGAGTCATCGCTACGTTCGGTTTCGCGCCAGCGAACAGAGACTTTGCCCGTTTGCTAGAGACACTCGGACTGTCGTTTCCAACCAAGTATTATAAATTATCGAAAGATACTGCCCTTGGAACGAGCGACAATGCAAACGACGTTGAAATATCACAGTTCGAAGAATTACGAAAAAAAAAAAAAAAAAAACGACCTTTCGTTATGTAAGAAGAGTCGAAATTTCACAGGAAGAAAACAGTATAATCACTTCCTTTCAATTTATCTATTATTATATTTTTTATTAAAATAAATAAGCTCTCTCTTGACTGCTCTAATTAATTCTTGTTGCAGTTGATACGCCAAAATGCCATCCAGCACATTACTCGATTTCAATTATCGAGAGTAACATGATTATAATATGCATTTAACGCTCATATTTTCTGACCCTTACGAACTAATAATACGATAAGGATTTACACGATACAGCGATGTATTTATACTTTAAGCTTTAACGACGTCCGTTTAACTCCGATGGCAGATACCGCTAATTAAATCATCAGACTAAAGGAAAACGTCCGGGTCGGCAGGCCGGCGGCCTTTAAATGATATCATTGCAGAAAGAAACGCATAAAGTGCGGAACGTCGTTCATTTTCGAGAGTTGATAGATTTTTCGTCAGTAATCGTGAACTCCGATTGGAAAGGTAAAGATTCTATACAAAGAAATAAATGCTGCAGAAAAAAAGTTCTTTCGTATGAAAATCCATTTCCAAGAAAATGATTTTCACGCTCGGCTTAACAATCTCCTTATTTAAGCACAAATAATTTTTAACTTCTTCGGCAAGACGAATTACTCAACAGCAACTATTACGGGAGTAGCTAACTAAAAATAAATAAAACAAATTCGATATTCTGTTATGGTAAACAATAATTGAAATTGATAAACATTTTGTTGTTTGCAAAATATTAAGGTCGTATATATTACCTTAAACAAGGTACTATATTTTTGTTCATGACCTGGCAAAAAGAACCATTATTAAAACGAGCACGTCAATCTATGGCACTGTGCCATAGATTGAAAAGTTATGCAAGCTACATACATTTAAAAAAAAAATAGAGAAAAGTTATTTTAAAAATACACATGATAATCTGAACGAGAAGAAACATTTCTTTAACAGAAAAAACATTTTGCATTTGCATAAATACATATGTACATGCGTGATGTTATATATAATTAGAGATGCTTTTATTGATTTTTTGAGAGATTACGAAAATATTTACGTCAGTGCACAAAGGATCTTGGACCTTACAAAATTGATTTCAAAAATTCGATAAAAGTAAAATGAAATTCACAATTATTCATGCTATTTCGTCGAGGTAAGTAGAAGAATCCAGCGTGCAAATTTTAATACACAAAATAGTGTGTCACGGGGGAAATCTTATGCATAAATTTCGCAGAAAAAGCTCGCTCCGGGAGCTCGAAAAAGTAGCCTGCGATATCCCGATGGAATAGAACTGGAGGATCGCTGATCCATCATCGATTCAACGGTAATTGTAACACGAATTCTGCTTATGTTATATGAGTGGTTCGCGTGCTCGCGAATTAAGTCTGATAAATGTGACTCCGTCGTATTTGATATCGCCTTTGTTATCGAGTATTATTATACACTTAACACTATGCAGCAAAGAATAAGACTAAGAGACTGCGAAAATAATATTTTCGTTAACAGAGATAGACGTGGTGACTGTATTCAATTAGTTAGCAGTTTTTCAAAATTTCTTTATATCACATTGTTTTAATTTAAATATTAAGTAAGCAATAATCATAAAATTAGGATGTGTATACATACATATAATTAACAATTATAGTATACAACAAAAATTATAAAAAAAATAATTACAATAGTAATAATATATTTATAATTGTAAATAATTATGCAATATTATTTCCGAGCTGTCTTCAATTGATAATTTTTTAAAATATTAATAAAAAAATCATTATATATTATCTAATTAGAATAATTACAAAAGATAATTATGTAAATATCGATTCCTTATCCACGTTATAAATGAATATGATCTTATAACTGAATATAACAGTGATTTAATCCTTTCTGATCCAAAAATCTCAATAAATATACGAACGTTATATCTTATGTAAGCAAATTCGTGTATAGCCA